GAATTAGGGGATCCAGAGCTCTATGAAGGAAGGGACTAGGTTCCATGGGAAGGACCATGCACCACTGTTAACCCCACAAATCTTTCCAAGCCTTCTGTAGGGTCCTGTAGCCACTTAGTAAAATGTCATGTCATCCAGGATAACAGATGTGTTCAAGCCAGGAGGTTGAGTCTCACCGAAGGCAGAGCCAGAGAAATTGGCCCTGAGTGGGGCATGGCCCAAGGTGCTCCTCTGCCCTCCTTTCAGGATCCAAATCTCCCTGGGGAGCCCAAAGTATCCTCTGGCAGGTTAGAGTGGGCGGGGCGGGCCTAATGGTGCTTATAGGATCTTTAGGGCTATGGTTTTCCGTGGACATTTCTCCCATGCCTCTTTTCCGCAGGAAAGCATTGACCTCCAAGTATACGGGAACCTGGGACGTGATTTCACAACAAGGCCTGTGGGAGACTACGCGGTTAGGGAAGGTGGTTTCAGGGGGTGGGTCTCCTGCTCCACCCTCCCTGTTGACAAAAGAAAGTAGGTTGAGGTTCCAATGTTGTGTTTCCTTGATGGGCCACCGAGCCTGGAGTGAGACCTGCAAGGAAAGTATACCTGTGTGGTTTCCGCCAGTCTTAATCAGGAATACTTCTTTCAATTCCTGTTATATATGTTTATTATAGATACAGTAAAGCTTATGTGAAGAGTAGACACCCAAAATGGCCAGCCGGAAGCCGGTTTCTCGCGCGCCGATGTGTCCAAACCCCATTCGTCAGCAGGCCGCCCGCGATTCCGGTGCCCAGTCACCTATCAGGTCTGCGCATGTGCTGAGCTATTCATGCACGCAGGCGCAGAGTGCCGCTGTATCTATGGTCCCAACGTCTGATAGAGCGTCCACCCGCCCTCTTTGGGACTCTGTGGTTTTTGAGCGTGAAGACCGGCCGCCTATATAAGGCATGCGCAGGCGTGGGAGCGCCTCTTTTCCTTCGGCGCGGTGAGTACGTTGGACTGTGTGTTCATTTGGTGTCCTTGCCTTTTCTCTGCTGAGGTTTGAGGCCTGTCCTTACATTCTGTTCTCACTTTGCTTATTTTCTTACAGTCACCGACGATCCTGGTGTCGCCATGGGCCGCCGCCCCGCCCGGTGGTAAGTTCCAAATCCCTGCAGTTTCGCTGTTGGAAAATTGCCTTTGGCCCCCTCAGACAACTGCTGGGTGGAGCCTCCTGTACGGGTTTCCTTCACCATGTTTCCCTAGTGCTTTTCCTACTGGTTTTTATTCATTTATACCGTTTATTCTTTTTCAAAAGTTTATCCTTACTCTGGCGCTGCCCCGGTTTTGTTGGGCGGCGGATTGACTCAGGAGTGTCAATGCAGTGCCAGTGTTGAGCTTGTAACAACATCCACCCTCTTCTAACCGTCTCTCCTGCAGTCTCGCCACACTTTATTGTCTCAGTCGCCTCTTGCGTCCTTTGTGCCCATAAGTAAGTCTAGTCTTACTTATGGGCTTTCGACCATGTGGTCTTATCGGACACCAAACGCAGATAAGAAATAGCTGGCCTAGCCGCCTCATGTACCCTGCAGGGGGCGCCGGGTGCCTCTCACGTGGCTTGGAGGCGGATTTCATGTCACGTTCCCGGAAGTCTTGTCTTGGGTACCTCAACCGTTCTAACGTTGTGAATTTGTAGTGTTTAGAACAGTCGAGCAAAGATTATTATTTTTTTAACGGTCTTAAAAGTAGAACCCAAGGCCTCATACATTCCAGGCAGTCGATCTGCCACTGAGCTAAATTCATGACCCTCAAAGATGATTCTTTTGAAGTCTGGAATTATTTATACTGGCTTTAAAAGGAGTTTAAAATTAGGTGTAATCAAGACATTGTGGCTTTGGTTAACTTGCTATATTGTTGATGCTAGCTTCAAACTTGGGATATTGAGCGAGCATTTAAATAGCTTGTTGGGTTCACTTTTGACCCCACAACACGAAATTTTTTTCCCCCTTCTGCAGTTACCGGTACTGTAAAAACAAGCCGTACCCAAAGTCTCGTTTCTGCCGGGGTGTCCCTGGTAAGTACTAAGACACTCACAAACTGCTTTGGTCATGCTAATTCAGCAGTCCCTAGCACTCTACCCTCCCTCCCCCAACACTTATCAAAGTTTTTTTTTCCACCCCCAGATGCCAAAATCCGCATATTTGACCTTGGGCGTAAAAAGGCAAAAGTGGATGAGTTCCCGCTCTGTGGCCACATGGTATCTGATGAATATGAGCAGTTATCCTCTGAAGGTGAGGCAAGATTCTTTGTTTATTACCCCTAGTTCTTTCTGTGTTCTCTGTCTGACCCAGAATTGTACTGCACTGGCTATAGTAAGTGCTTTTGCAACATATTGTTTTAACTCTGTTGCCTTCCTTTGTTCTCATAGCCTTGGAGGCTGCTCGTATTTGTGCCAACAAGTACATGGTAAAAAGTTGTGGCAAAGATGGCTTTCATATCCGAGTGCGGCTCCACCCTTTCCATGTTATCCGTATCAACAAGATGTTGTCCTGTGCTGGGGCTGACAGGTGAGTTGGCTTTGAACCTTTTCCTTTAACTTGGGCCTCTTCTGGGCTTGGTTTTTCATGTCAGGGAATAAAGGTGATTTCACATGTTGAATCACCTGTGGTGAGGAAAAAAAAAACAGGAGAAAGGCTTGGCAATCAAATTGGGGGTACCACCTCATGGGGTGTCTCACTGTTTTTTTGTTTTTGTTTTAATTAATTACACATGATAGTACAATGATCTTGACATATCATACATTTGAATCAGATGGGGTATAATTTCTCATTTTTCTGAGTGTACAGGTTGCAGAATCGCATTGGTCATGCAGTCATACATATATATATATATATATATATATACAGCAATAATGTCTATTCTGCGGTTCCTTCCTTTCCCCCTCTCACTGGTTCTTTTTGAGTCATCTTCTGCAGCTAATTAAGCCGACTGGGTTCCTTTACTTGTGGTGGCCCAGTGTGCAATGGCTGCGAACAGCAATCTCCTTGGTAGTGTATGCAGCCTGTTGCTTATATGGGTTGCCCTAAGGGACCTTGGAGACAACACTTTGAGTAGATGTTCATATTTCTGATCTCATGATGTCCCCTATCTAGGCTCCAAACAGGTATGCGGGGTGCCTTTGGGAAACCCCAGGGAACAGTGGCCAGAGTTCACATTGGCCAAGTCATCATGTCCATCCGCACCAAGCTGCAGAACAAGGAACATGTGATTGAGGCCCTACGCAGGGCCAAGTTCAAGTTCCCTGGCCGCCAGAAGGTAAAATAGTGGTGCAGCTCCCTTCCTCCTACCTCTTTCCTTGCCCCAGTCCTCCTGACTCACTTTCCATCTCTAGATCCACATCTCAAAGAAGTGGGGCTTTACCAAATTTAATGCTGATGAATTTGAAGACATGGTGGCTGAGAAGCGGCTTATTCCTGATGGCTGTGGGGTCAAATATATCCCCAATCGTGGTCCCTTGGACAAGTGGCGGGCCCTGCATTCATGAGGGCTTCCACTGTGCTGTCCCCTTCTTAATCACACACAACACCAATAAATCCTGTATTGTATCCATTTATGTGTTTATTTCTTAAATCTAAGGGCCATGAAACCATTACCATATTAGCAGTATAGAACTGTACTGATAAGCTTTATAAATTGCCTGTTTGGGATCTCACCCTAGGGAGTATGTGGAAAAGCATTAAAACTGGGGTGGGTGGTAATGGAAGGGTAGCAGCTAGGTCCCTTTTTGTAAGCCTAGTGGCTACCACTTGAGCCACATCCCCAACCCATTTAAAAGTATTTTTTCAAGAGACAGGGTCTCTTGTTTGGTACCTAGCTAAGTTGCTAAGACTGACTTTGAACTGTGATGTTCCAAAGCAGGATCATTTGAAGCCAGTCAGGCCCAATCTCAAAGTGGGCATATTATCCTACCCATCTCATTTAACTAGACCAGGTGTTTGAGTCTTTGGAGTGCGATCCCATTCCTAATGGCAGTTTCCTATCAGTCTCCTGGCTCACTGTCCTAGGCTGCTTTCCCATATCCCCTGCCCACCATACAAGCCAGTCTACACCCATGGGCCTTGGCCAAAACAATGACCTTTGGACAGAACACCTGGTATCCCTTGGCCTGGGCAACCTGGTGCCTTGGCCAGGACTCTCAAAGGAACTTTAGTGTTCTGAGGAATACCTTAAGTGAGCTACTCCAGATGGGTCAGAACCCTATCATAATGGGTCTACAGGTCCCATTTTGGAAGCGTCTTACCTTCCAGCAGCTACCTTTTAGGTACCTAGCTCTCCCAGGCTCCAGGCTGTGACCCCTTTGAGGCCTTTCTACTTTTGTAATCTTAGAATGTTCCAAAACTTTTCCAATAAATTCCCTTTTAATTTTGACCCCAGGGAGATTGCTCTAAACCATGATTGTAGTTTACATAAACATATTACCCTGTAACTGTCCCAATGGATGGGGAAGGATGAGTTCCATGATACTAACATCCTGGACAGAGTCTCTGTTCTGTGTATCCTTTTCTGTAGCCCATTTTTCTGGGCCTGTGTTCATACAGATAGCTTTCCAGTAATATGATAGTTGTGGTTCAGATAATGTATGCTCCTGTGGCCTTGGTAAACCAGTGCCTCTCCCTATGTATAAACCCAAGTGTCAGTGTGGACTGAGAGCACCTATGGGTGGTGAAAGCAGGACTGCACAGAGTTACAGAGAGGCCTGACCACAGACATTGGGGCTGTTTAGTTTTAAACATTTATTTTTTTTAGTTACAAGTGAACATATACCTTTTATTTTTCTATGTGGTGCTGAGGATCAAACCTTGTGCCTCATGCATGTTAGGCAAGCACTCTTTCCTCTGAGTCACAACCCCAGCCTGACCCTGGGGCTTTTGCAAGTTAGTCACACACAGGGTTGCAATGAGCTTATTTGTTTCCCAATTACTATTTTTTCCGTGGTGGTGGTGTATCACCTTATCTCCATATATTTTTTTTAATATCCATTTGTATATCTACTGGGTTCTCAATGGTTTCCTGTTGACATCTGCTACCCACATGTAATACCTATCCAATCTGGCTTTTTTGTCATACAGTAGAATTTTTTGATCTGTTGTGAGTCCCCTTTCTGAGCTCTGTGAGGTCTGGCAGAGAGAAGATGTAGAGATGCTCACCTGAGCTCATCTCTCCAGCCCTGACACCTGCTTTTGTTTTCACTCCTGACACTACCTGAAGGGGAGCACCATGGGTCCAGCCTCAGGTCCTGGATGCCCCTTCTAATACCAAGAAAAAAAGCCAAACCAAGCAAAAGGGTCACTTCAGCCCCAGGGCAGAACAGACTGGATGGATGAGACCAAGAATCAAGTCCTAAAGGCAACATGGACATCACACCCGTGGGCCACCAGGTCCAGCTGAGAGGGCAGGAGTGACAAAAGTAGTGACAGCAGGAGCAGAGTGGGCAGGCTGAGGGGCTGGATACTTCGAGCAGTCTGATTGAGCTCCACCTCCACAGGGTAGTGGTCACTGATGCTGAGGGCCTGGGGAGGGGCAGTGAGAAGAAGTGTCAGTACCTGGAGTTAAGGGGTTTCACTCTGACCCCTGGACCCACCCCTCTTCCTGCCCTTTTTCCTTACACCAGCCCCACCTCACTACCTCTTCCTCAGTGAGCTGGAAGCTCTTGGGGAAGTTGAAGGCAGCTGCAGCCTGCAGCAGGCTCTGGCAGCCCTCCCCATGCAGCACAATGCGGTCGTAGGTGCAGTGGGTGCTGGCCCTCACTGTGGTGTCCTCCCCATCAGGAATCACCCAGTGGAAGCCTGCTTCAGTCCGCAGTAGAAGCTGGCTTAGGCGTTTTTTGGGCAGTGAAGTGCAATCAGCATTGAAGTCCCCAAGTAGGATCACCTCCTGAAGGTGAGAGGAGTGGCTGGGCCCGACTGATGGGCCATCCATCCCCTTCCCTCCCATTTGATCTACCCAACCCTACCTTGCTTTGCCAGCGCTGTGAGACATCCAGAAACACATTGTATAGGGCATTCAGCTCCTTTTCTACATCCTTAGGAGTGGTGTGCAGTGGGACCAGCACCAGGCTGGGAAGGACTGTAAAACCCAGGAAGCCAGGGCTGCCGTCCACCCCCAGCCCTTCTCCCCTAGTTTCCTCCACATTACAAAGCCCCCAGTTGGACTGTCCAGACTCTCCCCACCATTCTTTCCCTCCTACTTTTGCTAGGCAAAGTGAACTGGGCCACAAAGGGCTCCCGGGCAAATAGGTCATCCTCATCTTCATACTGGTAGGAATTCAGGACCTGTGTCTTGTCGGACCTGGGAAAACCAAAGAAGAGGAAGCAGTTGCCATAAGTTACTGATTTTGGTTTGCATGTGCCAACAGCATGGCTCTCAGGAAAAGATACCCCCACTTTCCTGGCTATTCTTGGTTTGTGTAGGCACAGCCTTTTTTTCAAGAACATTCCATTTTGTTTGGTGCTGAGGCTCAAATCCAGAGCCTTGCAGCTCCTAGGCATGTACCCTACACTGAGGTACCCTGGCCCATTAGAACTGTTTTATTTATATTTGAGATGGGGTCTTACTGTGTTGTCTAGGCTGGGCTTGAGCTCCTGGGCTCAAGTGATCTTCCCACGTCAGCCTCCCAAGCAGCCAAGACTATAGACATTTGTTACCATGCCCAGATAGACTTCTTTTTATTAAGATCTATTTTGTAAAAAGATGTAACTCAGGCTGGGGCTGTAGCTCAGTGGTAGAGCACCCGCCTCACATGTGTGAGGCACTGGGTTTAATCCTCAGCACCACATAAAAATAAATAAAGATACTGTGTCCAACTACAATTAATATATATATATATATATATATATATATATATATATATATATATATATATATATATATATATATATATATATATATATATATATATATATATATATATATATATATATTAAAAGAAAAGATATAACTCACACACCATAAAATTCATCTATTTTAAGTGTACAATTCCATGGTTCTTAGTACATTGATTAGGTTGTGCAACTACCACTACAATCAATTTCAGAACATTCTCATATCCTCCAAAAGAAAACTTATCCTGTACCCAGTAACTGTTACTCTTCATTCCCCCTCCCACCATCCCTAGCAGCCATTAACTTATTCTATCTTGTAGATTTGCTTATTCTGCACATTTCATGAAAGTGGAATCAAGTAATATGTGACCCTTTGCATCTGGCTGCTTTCCTCTAACAATAATTTCAAGGTTTATTCACACTGTAGCATCTATCAGTAATTCATTATTTTTATTGCCGAATAATATTCCACTGTATTGGTATGCCACATTTTGTCTACCATTCACCAGTTCATGAACATTTTTTTGTACCAGGGATTGAACCCTGGTACAGGGGTGCTTAACCACTGAGCCACACCCCTAGCCCTTTTTAATATTTTATTTACAGACAGGGAGTTGCTGAGATTGCAGGCATTCACCACCTTGCTCAGCCACTTTGAGCTATTATGAGTGATAAACATTCATGTGGGGACATGTTTTCATTTCTCAGGTAGGTAGACACTAAGAAGCTATAGAATTATTTTGGAGCAAATCCCAGATACCATGTAATTTCACCTATATAGAAAAACAGATTTCCTTCTCTGGCAGTCCACCTTGCCTACTCTTTTTGGTACTGGGGATTAAGGGGCAGTTTACCACTAAGCCACATCCCCAGCCCTTTTGATTTTTTATTTTGAGACAGGGTCTTGATAAGTTGCTGAGGCTGGCCTCAAACTTAGAATCCTCCAACTTCAACTTCCTGAGTCACTGGAATTACAGGCGTGTACCACAGTGCTTGACTTGCCTACTCTCTTGATCCTAACACCGAGAGCATGCCCCACCCTACTCCCTGCCCCAATCCTGTCCTCTCAGGAATTCAGGGCTGTTTCTAGAAATCAAGATCCACCCAAGACCTACAATCAGCACCCACTGATCCTCTTCCCAGAAGCCACAACCACTGCTTGCCACTCCGAGAGGAGCAACCAGACATGCCTTGAGTCCCAGGAGCTTCCACAGGGGAGAAAAAGAGGGAAGCTCCATTTGTGCATGGAGAGGGAGTCCTCCTGTTATATGGACATGCTGGCTGGGGTGGAAGAAGCAAAGATCCCAGAGTAAAACCATTAAGAAAAAGAAGTGAGAAGGCAAGGGAGGGTCTTGTGGCCCTTAGAGAGCCATCTCACAACAGGGTTAAAGGCCAGCCCTGTGTTTATCAACCCTTGTTCTTACCGGTAGATGTACACATACTTCTCCTTGTATGTGCTGCGCCCCAATCTGGAGCTGTACAGGGAGCTATAGTGTCTGGAGCCATCAAATCTGCTGGGAAATGGGGAACCTAGGGTCAGAGTCCCTGAGGTTCTATGTGAGCCCTGGATTAGACCCACCAAGCCCTCCTCACCGCTTGAGTTCTTGAAGCAGGAGGGAGATGGTCTTATTAGAAGAATCCACCACCTCCTGTAGCACCATGATGTCACAGCGAGCCACAATCTGCAAGATACCAAGAACGCCAGCCCTACTCAAAACCAGCCACCCCAGAAGGGGGTGTACCTGGGGAACTATGGCTAAGAGTGTCATGGCTCACTAGCTGCAGCCCACAGAGAGCAATGGGACTAGAAAGGACCTGGGAAAATACTGGCATCCACACTCATACCTTATCCATTTTACAGAGCAGGAGACTGAGGCTAATGATAGGTAAGGAACATTCTCTGCATCTGGGCATTCACATCTCTAGATGTCGCCTGTTCTCTGGCATTCATTCATTCATGCATTCATTCTGGGGATTAAACCCAGGGGCACTGTACCACTGAGCTTCATCCCCAGCCCGCCTGCTTGTTTGCTTGCTTCCTTCCTTCCCAGGATTGAACCCAGGGGTACTTAACCACTGAGCCACATTCCAGCCCTTTTTTTAATTTTATTTTTTAAATTTTGAGATAGGATATCACTAAGTTGCTTAGGGTCTTGCTAAATTGCTGAGGCTGGCTTTGAACTTGTGATCTTCCTACCTCAGCTTCCTGAACCACCCAGCTTTATTTTTTATTTTAAGACAAGATCTCCCTAGATGCTGAGGGTCTAAGTTGCTGAGGCTGGCTTTGAACTTGTGATCTTCCTACCTCAGCTTCCTGAACCACCCAGCTTTATTTTTTATTTTAAGACAAGATCTCCCTAGATGCTGAGGGTCTAAGTTGCTGAGGCTGGCTTTGAACTTGTGATCTTCCTACCTCAGCTTCCTGAACCACCCAGCTTTATTTTTTATTTTAAGACAAGATCTCCCTAGATGCTGAGGGTCTAAGTTGGTGAGGCTGTCCTTGAACTTGTGATCCTTCTGCCTCAGTCTCCCCAGTTGCTGGAATTATAGGTATAGGCCACCATGCCTGGCACTTCTTCTCTGGAACATGTCTCTGGTCAGTCAGGGCTGGGGGTTTGGGGTCATGGTCCTTATGGGGCCTTACTTACCCGGACTAAGGTGTCCTTCACTTGCTCCGTGACCACCTTGGCCAGTGTCAGCCGCTGGGTGTTGAAGGCACAGATGCGAAAGGCCTCAGCACCACCAGCCAGGAGGATGAGCAGGAATGCAGCTAGACTGTGCATAACTGCATGCAGCAAAGGCGTTTCTCCAGAGGAATCTAAACTGCTCAGTGTGCTCCCAGTTGGACTTGCTCAAGCGGCAGTCACCCTGCAGGTTTTCTACATCTCTCCCTGGGGATACCTGCCAATGTCTTCACATATGCCTTGACCATATAAGATACATGTAGCAGAAAATTTACTATCTTACCTTTTAAGTATACAGTCCAGTAGCATTGAGCACATTCACACAGTTGTGCAACTGTTACCACTGTCCATCCCCAGAACTTTCTTCATCATCCCAATCTGAAACTGTATGCCCATTAAGTCCTGTTTGAGCCCAGGAATTTTGGGCTAGCCTGGGAAACAGTAAAACCCTGTTTCTTAAGAAATGAAAACAAAAATCCCCCAAAGCACAACTTCCACCTTTATCCATAACCGCTGGTACCCACCATTCTACTATCTGTCTCTAATGCATTTGACTACTGAAGTGGAAAAACAGGATTTGTTCTTTTGTGATTATTATTTCATTGAGCATAATGTCCTCATGGTTCATTCATGTTGTATAGAATATGTCAAAATTTCCTTCCTTTTTAAGGCTGAATAATATTCCATTTTTAGTATAGGTACATTTTATTTATCTATTACCCATCAAAAGACACTGTTTGGCCAATATGAATAATGCTGCTGTACAAATAGCTTCATTTTGTGTTTTCAGTGATTTCCTGGTATGTACCCAGAAGTGGAATTGCTAGATCACATGGTAGTGCTATATTTAATTTTTTTGAGGAACCACATTCTGTTAGCTGCTGTACCATTTTACATTCCCACTAGCAGTTCACAAGAATTTGACTTCATTATTTTAAACTGCTGCATAGCAGTTTAAACCTTCCAGGTTTCCTGACCAGGGGAGATGCTGCTATTCCCCAACTCAGGAATGTCCAGCTTTTCTCCTCCATTAGCAACTGAGAATGCTTTCATGCATCTCTTTCTTCCCACTTGTGAGATGCTGCCCTTTTGTTGTATGTATGGTACTAGGGATTAAACTCAAGGGCCCTCTATCACTGAACTACAACTCTAGCCCTTTTATTTTTTATTTTGAAGCAGATTCTCACTAAATGGCCCAGGCTGGCCTGGAACTTGCCATCATCTTTGAGTAGTTGGGATTACAGGAGTGCACCTATTGTGAGATGTTATCTTTTTTTAAAACATTTTTTAAAAATATTTTTTAGTTGTAGTTGGACACAATACCTTTATTTTATTTATTATGTGGTGCTGAGGGACGAACCCAGGGCCCCACACATGCTAGGTGAACACTCTACCACTGAGCCACAACCTCAACCCCTTTATATATATAGTTGTTTTGTTGTTGATGGACCATTTTATTTATTTATTTTATGTGGTGCTGAGAATGGAACCTAGTGCCTCACAGGTGCTAGGCAAGTGCTCTACCACTGAGCCACAATCCCAGCCCATGAGATGTTATATTTAAGATAAAATCCCAGCAGTGAAATTGTGGGTTCAAGAGGATAAGCATTTAAAATTTTCAGAGACATGGCCACATCATCTCTAGTGCAATGTATGATGGGGCCTCTTCCTGCAACCCTGCCACCACTGGCAAGCCTTTCTTGTTCATTTTGCCTCCTGAAGTCCTTCTTTTTCTGAGCATCTCTCCATTTATCTTTGTCTCAGGCTTATCTCAACCTTGCCCTGTCTTTTGGGCTCAGTTTGTCACTCTACTCCGTCCATGTTGCTCCCCTTACCAGTCATTGTGATCCCTGCTTCTGTCTGTCTACTTTTTTCAGTCACACCCTCACTCTCCCCTCTAGTTCATTTTCTGCCTCTCTTAGGTTCTACCTGTCTGTCTTCCTTGTTCTCTCTTCTCTGTTCTGCTCCTCTCTGTGTCTGTGCCACAGTATCTCCCTCCTGACTGGCCTTGATGCCTGTTTCTCTCTGACCACCTGCTCTGTCACTCATGGCCTCCTCCCTTGGTTACTATTTTTGGATATATGTGGGCATCTGGGCAGCCCTGGGCTAGCACTGTCATGATTGGAGGCTCTGGAGCCAGGATCTCCCATCGTGGATATGGGCAGAAGGATCAGAAAGAGCGAGTGTTCCTGGCCTCAGCTAAAAGCCCAGCCCAGGCTTCCAACACTAGCCTTGGTTCCAGCCCTAAGGTTATCTTCCTCTCTCAACCCCTCCCTAGGCAAGAAACAACTTTCATCCTCTTTCCCTCCTCCCACAGTACCTGCTCACGCCTGCTTGTCTCCACGCCTGCCTCAGACTTAAACGGATCACGACACCTCACGAGATCGAGATCGAAGCGCCTGCCTGGGTAGGGACCAGAGCGGGGAGAAAAAGAGGAAACTCTTCCTGACCCACCCAGCAGGGCCACCCAACTCCTCCTGATAGATGAGTAAGCCCGCTCCAGCTCCGCCCCACAGCCGGCTCCGAGGGCGGGCACTGGCCTGGGAACTGCCAACTGCCGTCCCACGATCCCTCATAGGCCCCACCCTCCCTTACCCGGCTGTGGGACTTGAGAGCCTGTGAATCACCAGAGTGTGGCTTCCACAAGTGAGCAGCCGTAGCCGCTCGAGGAGCAGTTAAGGGCCAGGGGCGGCAGCGCGCGCGCCTGTAATCCCAGAGACTCAGGAGGATCACATGTTCGAGGCCAGTTTGAGCAATTTGGCGGAGATCATGTCTCAAAATGAAAAGAGCTGCGGATGTAGCTCAGTGGTAGAGTACCGTGGACTCAATCCTCTGTAAGGCAAAAATTCCAGCTGCTCACGGCCTCCTCTCTTGATTACTATTCTGGGATATATGTGGGTATTTGGGCAGCCCTGGGCTAGCACTGGAATGTTTGGAGGCTCTGGAGGCAGGACCTTCCACCATGGCTATGGGCAAGAAGGACCAGAAAAATAAATAAATTGAATTTAAATAAATAAATTAATTGATTAATAAAAACACTCTTTTAACAGGGATGGGGTTTTCTTTTGGTGTGACAAATGAGTTTTGAAGCTAGAGGTAGTGATGTATAGTGTTGTGAATGTACTAAAGGGTATAAAATATCACACCATACATATATGAAACATGATATTTTATCATATATTTTACCATATATTATATAGTACATGTGTATCACATATTATATTCTATATATAGATGTATACATATATAGTACAATGGCATACTACTGTAATTATATAAAACTGTTTGCAACCGGGCGCGGTGGCACACGCTTGTAATATCAGTGACTCAGGAGGATGAGGCAGGAGGATAGCGAGCTCAAAGCCAGCCTCAGCAACTTAGAGAGGCTCTGAACAACAGAGACCCTGTCTCTAATTATTTTTTTAATATTTATTTATTTATTAGTTCTCAGCGGACACAACATCTTTGTTGGTATGTGGTGCTGGAGAATTGAACCCGGGCCGCACGCATGCCAGGCGAGCGCGCTACCGCTTGAGCCACATCCCCAGCCCTCTAATCATTTATATATACAAAAATATAGGTTTTTTTGTTTTTTATATACAGATATAGATATAGTATTTTATTCAGGGACAGGGTCTCATTGAGTTGTTTAGCGCCTCACTTTTGCTGAGACTGGCTTTAAACTCACGATCTTCCTGTCTCAGCCTCCTGAGCTGCTAGGATTACAGGCGTGAGCCACGGCGCCCGGCTCTAATAAAATATTTTAAAAAGGGCTGGGGAGGTTGTTCAGTGGTTAAGCACCCCTGGGTTCAATCCCCAGTAGTAAAACAAAAACAAACAAACAAAAAACTGTATGTTTGTAATTGTCTAAAATCACATAATGCAATGTACAATATAAAATGTAGACATTATATGTTATATATAAGGCATTGTATGTTAATATAAGATCATCTGAAATTCAACCAAATGGCTAATTTTGTTATGTGAATTTTATTTTTCTTTGGTACTAGGGATCGAACCCAGGGACGCTTACCCACTAAGTCACATCCCCAGCCCTTTTTATTTTTAATTTTGAGACACAGTCTCACTAAGTCGCTTAGGTCCTCACTAAATTGGTTCTCCAACTTGCGATCCTCCAGTCTCGCTGAAATTACAGGCTTGTGCCACTGTTGTGTGAATTTTACCTCCAAAAAAAAAAAAAAAAAGGAAAAACAATGAAGTTAAAGGGCTCCGCCAGCGGAAACCTTGAGTGGCTTCAGTTAGTATGGATACGCAGCCCAAGTCTTCTACGGAGACCGGAATTAAGCGGAAAGGAAATGCAGGAACTAAAGGTATCAAATCAGGACCCCCGCAAGACGGGGCTGGGCTGACGTGGATCCGCCCCCATTGCCGTCAAGCGGTCTGGGAGAGTTTTGCGACAGCCGGCCGGTAGCTGGGCTCTCTCTCCGACTCGCTTTCCGGCGGATGCACGGTGCCGCTGGCTGCCGCCTCCGGCTGCCGCCGCCAGCCTTCTGGGCGCGTCTCTCTCCTGCGATCCTGGCCTCTGGCCCCGGCGACGTAGCCGGGCCAGGCGAGGTTCTGGCCTGACCCGCCAGGTGACCTTCATTCAGTCCCCTGTCGCGCCAAGCCTTGCCCCCATCAGTGCGTGGGCCTGTCTCAACCTCTCCAGCGGTTTGAGAACACCGACCTGCATTGGCCCCATATTCTGCCCAGTGGCAGGGGGAGTGTCGGGCCGCCAGGCCCAGGGGCGGGGCCGGAGGAGATGCCCCTGCAAGTGAAGTGGCCATTCCCTGCGGTGCCGCCGCTTACCTGGACACTAGCCAGCAGCGTCGTCATGGGCCTGGTGGGCACCTACAGCTGCTTCTGGACCAGTGAGTGGGCCCGAGGCCAAGGCAGGATCTGTCACGTATTCCCACGCCTGGCCAGAGTTGGGGCTTGGGGTTGGGGACTCTGGCAGGGCCTAGCCTGGTAGAGGTAAGCCTCAAGCCAGTGGGGAGGAGGCTAAGACCGAGACCCACCCCCCTTTCCCTCCAGAGTACATGAATCACCTCACCGTCCACAACAAGGAGGTGCTGTACGAGCTCATCGAGAACCGAGGCCCTGCCACTCCCCTCATCACCGTCTCCAATCACCAGTCCTGCATGGATGATCCTCATCTCTGGGGTACCCAGGCCTGTGTGCTGGGCACAGGAAGGCAGGGAAAAAGCTAGACCTGGTCAAACAAAAACAAACAAATTCACTTCTCACTGGGCTCTTTGCATATCCCTGGCACTCTTTATTACTGAGATGCCCTGTCTCAATGGAAATTTGATTGTGGCCCCTTCAGGGAATGTGGTTTGAGGGCCTTAAATTTAGAAGGGGTGAGGAAGTGACCACGTGGCAAGGTCTGACAGTTTTTTTTACTCTGTTGTCACACTTATAGAACCGTCTGTCCTCTAAACTGTTAAAGGTCCCACAGAGTCTTGGGAAGAAATTGGTAGACACCATTGGGTATCCTGTCAAGGAAGCTCTGGGCTGGGGGATATAAGATCTGCAACCTGGTTCTAGCTTTGCCCCTGGCTGGGTTTTGTACTTTTCAACCAGCCCCACTTGAGAGTCCAGTTGCTCCACCTAGAAGTTCATGCTCTGTTGACTGATACTTGCCTCCAATCACCAGATGTTTGGGTGGAGGAGTGCCCAGGGTCTCCACTGTTGAATGGAGGAGTTACACTATCCTAAGATGTAATGGGGAGCCACCTGGTCACATTGGAGCCTTTCAAAGTTCACTCTGGCTGCCATGTAACAATGGCCTGTAAGATGGCACAGATGGATCCAGGGAGGCAACAAGCAAGCCTTGAAGCTGTGCAGTAGCTGGACTAGAGTAGTCACAGTGACAGTAAAGGGAGATGTTTAGAAGGATGGATGTTGTCAAAATGTTTCAGTAAGCAGATCAGACTCAGTGATGGGTAAGATATGGAGGTTGGGGAGCAGGAAGAGCCAAGGAGAACTTGAGGGTTCAGCCCAAGACTCTGGAAGATGACACTTTGGCCTGTAGAGAAATACTAGTGCTGCTGCCCTTGTCTGTCATTCCCTGCAAAAGAGTGACAGAAAAGGACACTCCCTGAGAACGAGGTGAATTGGGGTGCAAAATCTTTTCTCTCCTTCTCTAGGGATCCTGAAACTCCGCCACATCTGGAATCTGAAGTTGATGCGTTGGTGAGGAAGAATGGGCCCCTCGCAGTGGGCCTGCAAGCCCCACCTGTCTCTTTCCCTCCTCCTACTCTGCCCAGGAGGTGGCGTCCAGCAGTCCAGGCAGGGCATGGGGTGGAGCCCTGCAGGCCCTTCTCCTGGGCCTCCATTTTGCATGCCAATGATGGCAGGCATTGTGCTGGACATGGGACAGGGAGTAAGGAGCTTGGGAAGCAGAGATGACTCAGTCCATCTTTGCTTCAGGACTCCTGCGGCTGCAGATATCTGCTTCACCAAGGAGCTACACTCCCACTTCTTCAGCTTGGGCAAATGTGTGCCTGTGTGCCGAGGTGAGCTTCTCCTTCTGGGGCTATCCAAGTCTTCCTTGGGACAGGGAGGCAGGTGGCTAGTGCCTTTGTCTTGGAAGGATCCCTGTGAAACAGGCAACTGAAAAGTCAGGGAAGGGGCTGGGGATGTGGCTTAAGTGGTAGCACGCTTACCTAGCATGCTTGAGGCACTGGGTTTGATTCTCAGCACCACATAAAAATAAAATAAAGATATTGTGTCCACCTAAAACAAACAAACAAACAAAAAAGTAAGGGAAGCCATTGAGTGGTAGCAGAGGTAGCAAAGGCTGCTAGAGGATGGATGGCTTCTTGGAGAGCCCTCAAAAAGCTAGACCTGGTCAAACAAGTTTGTGATATTCAGAGGGTGAGATTGATTGAGCACTTGGTACCTCTTGGGAACCCATGGAGGTAGCATCATTTTGATCCCCATTCTCCAAACAGGGCTCACTCAGAGGGATTAAACTGTTGGCCCAAGGTCACTGGGTGAGCAGCGGTAAAGCCAAGATTCAAATCCAGGTTTCTGTTTCCCCTGGGGAAGCAGAATTTTTCAAAGCACAGAATAAAGAGAAAGGTATTTTTCTTTATTGTTTTTTTTTCTACTAGGAATTGAATCCAGGGGCACTTAACCACTGAGCCACATCCCCAGCCCTTTTTTGTATATTATTTAGAGACAGGGTCTCACTGAGTTGCTTAGGGCCTTGCTGTTGCTGAGGCTGGCTTTGAACTTGCAATCCTCCTGCCTCAGCCTCCCGAGCTGCTGGGATTAGATGTATGCACCACTATGCTCAGCAAGGGAAAGGTATTCTAAACACATGTAAACACATGCCAGATGCTGGAGAGGTAAGAGAGAAAAATAGAAAATGTTGGTTGTGCACAGAATATGAAGATTCTAGAATAACCCTGTTAATTTTTAACTGCTGGACACAGTGACACACATCTAAAATCCCAGCTACTCAGGAAGCTGAATTAGGAAGATGGCAAGTTTGAGGCCATCATGGGCAACTTAGTATGAACATGTATCAAAATTAAAAAAAAATAAAAAGGACTAGAGATATAGTTTGGTAGTACAGTGCTTGCATATCATGTGTGAAGTCCTAAATTCAATCCCCCAGTATCAAAAATAAATAAGTAGGCTGGGGATATAGCTCAGTTGGTAGAATGCTTGCCTCACATGCACAAAGCCCTGGGTTCAATCCCCAACACCACATAAAAAAAAATCAGTAAAGAATTTTGGACTCTGTTCACTCATCAGAGTGGCAACATACTTATGTCTGTGGTTCAGAGAGAGCATGCAGGCTACAGCATGGCTGCTGGATAGGAGCAAGGCCAAGTGGAGGCAGGGAACCAGGTTAGGCACTGTCGTGCAGTAGTTCTGGCAACAGAACAGTTGTGACTGAGCCTCTGAAAGTCACCATGAATAGTCAGAGCTGTGAATTGCTTTGGATTATGCTTAGGAGGCAGAGTTGACAGGACTTTTAATAGATCAGATGTGGGATGAGGCAAGGAAAAGAACTCAAAGATGACACTAGGTGTTTGGCCTGAGCAATGGTCTTTGGTACCATGGAAATCACTGGTGACCCCTGATAAGCCATCTCCATGAAGTGATAGCCACAGGAGCTGGCTTGCTGTGGCCTGAGAGGGCTGGTGGCACTGCAGTTTGAATAGAAGAGATAATAGCAGTGGCCACTCAGAGTATTGGTTGTGAGGAAGAAGATGGAGGAGGAAATAATCAAAGAATATAGGAGGTCAGGAGAGAGTTTATAACTTCCCATAGGTCAAAGTAAAACATGGCAAAACCCAGTCAAGTGATCCCAAGTAATAAGGAAGGGCTTGTAGTGGAAAGCTGCAGTGCCTCACTCCACATACCCAGTCCCTCTCCCCAGAGGCAATGCCTGGAGTGCTTTCACTTTGTGCTGCTTTTGGAGGCTATTTCCATCTCTTCGGACCCTGGCACTGCTTATCGTATCCTGCTCTGAGAGATGGGGACTCTACTTCTTTACCTCCTGTCTCTGAGTCTCAGCTCCTCCCATCTGCAAGCTCAGACAGAGGCATTTAGTGAGCACTTCTGTTTTTATGTTTGTTTGTTTTTTTTCCCGTGGTGCTCAGGATGGATCCCAGGGCCTCTTGCATGCTGAGCTACACCTCCAGTCTTGTTTTTATTCCTTTTCATTGGTATCTAGGTTTTCTTGTACAGTTAAAAACAGAAGATGAGGGCTGGGGGTATAAATCAGTGGTAGAGTGCATGTGAATTATTGATGAATCCCTGGATTCCATCTCTAGCACTGAAAAAACAATATCCAAAAAACCAACAACAAACCAGAAAGTGAAATTAATCCCAAGCACCTTCATTGAGAGAAAATGTGCAGGAATAAGTTATTTATCAGATATATTTGATATATAGCAGAGTTCTAATTCATATGACTGAAGCAAAAGAAATATTTAGCACACTTTGCTTCTGTGTTGCAAAAATTCCCTTTTCCACTAAGCCTAAGACAGTAATGTACTATGTAAGTTCTAAAGTGATTTTATGGAAGCTACACAAGAGAAGAAAAATAGCACTTGTAAAAACTAAAAAATGTGAAATGCTGCTCCAGAGGCATAGTGTTACTATTTTTACATCCCATTTCCAAGCTCAATGAATAGGTTGCACAAGTGGGTTTGGGTAGACAAGGAGCCAACACCTGTGATGACCATTCCCCTACTGTGTACTGAGAGCCCAAGTAGGGAAACCACTGTTCTGTGCCCTGAGTGAACTCCAGTGGGTAATTGTTCCCCAGCCCTAGCCTCTAAGTGAGATACTAGGTCAGGTCCCTATTTAGGTTAGATTGAAACATCTGGATCCCTACCTAGCACTTTCCAAAGAATCTTGCAAAGAATAGGTCAAAAATCCATTTCTTAGTGCATTAGCCAGAGACAGTCCCAGTGTCTGTCTGTGTTTTGTGATAAGGCTTCTTTATTCCCCAGTTCACAAGATGAAGAAATTTACCTTGAACCTCCCTGTCTTCCTCTTTCGTGGTTCTATCTACCTAATGGTTATTTTTCTATCATCAAAGTTGATGAGATTTCTTATTGTGTCCAGGTTGTGAGCCAGCACAGAGCTGTAGGCTTTATATCTGAGCTGTGGCTGCCTGCTGGGCCACCCAGGTCCAGGTTTGTATTGTCTTGGATCCAGGTTATGGTCTTGAGATATCTCCAAGATGCAAAGTTGCTAGCATTGGTAGCAGTTTGACTCCACCATTTTATTCTAGCAAGCTTGATTTTTTTCCCCCAAGTTCTTGATGATACACAATCAAGATGATGGAATGTTTCCCTTACCTAAGATTGCCTCTTTAAGAGAGGGTATAGAGCCTGAAAGGAAGAGGCCAGTAGAGGGAAGGAGGGCAGAGGCTGGAGCCTTAGGTGAGTGCTCTGTGAGGAGTGGTTGTGGGAATTGGCCAAGATTCCCCAAAGTAGTTGCTCCTTAGAATCTGGGGCCCACATTAGGCTTGGTATCAGGAATGAATTTGGTTTGTTCTAGCAGCCCCCTTTGGTCAGGATGGTAGAGCCAAGGAGACGCAGAGGCTCTAGGAACTGCTGACTGGTAGTCAGAGGCCTGGCTGAGGTGGAATAGATGATGACTTGGAGTCAGAGAGGATGCAGCAAGGGTGCGTGTGTCTGAAATGGCTCAGCAGGGTAGCTGATGATGGTCATAGGCAGGCAGAGGAATTGCCAAGGTCATAATTTCAGTAGGAGATGGTTCTAGAAGATGCTACATTGTACATAACAGGCACATAGAGGTTGAGAGGATATTATTCTATGAAGAAAGTCATGGGTCAGTGTGACCAGGGCAGATCATGCCCTGAAAACAGCCATTGGAGAGTGTCTCTGGATGATGCAGTAGGAGCTAAGTCCCTGAGCTTCTGCCTCTGTCCCAGTGAGTGGGAACTGCAAGAGGGAGTCCCCAGTGCATGAGGATATTTGAAGAGCATTGAAGGCAAGCTTCCTGCCCACTGACAACGGGGACTGATGGGGACAGGCCTTTCTCTGCAGGAGACGGTGTCTACCAGAAGGGGATGGACTTCATTTTGGAGAAGCTCAACCATGGGGACTGGGTACACATATTCCCAGAAGGTCAGCAGGGCTGGCTGGGTCAAGGTTCCCAAGCATGTATGGAACCAGCTCCCAAGCCTTGCTTCTGTGCTGTCTCACCAGGGAAAGTGAACATGAGTTCTGAGTTCCTGCGCTTCAAGTGGGGTAAGTACAACTGGCCCCTGGCCACAATGACCTCCCTACCCCAGGATAGCCCTGTCAGCCCCTGACTCCTCAACTCTGGCTGGATGTATTAGGAGAAGCAGGAAGGGGAAAGGCAGTGAGACAAGGGCTAGCACATTATTTGTTTTTAATTGTGGACAGCAGGGGTGGCACTGGCCAGAGGCTGGCAGGGAAGTTTATCCCAGCTTGTGCCAACATTTCTGCTTCTTCCCCTGGTAGGAATTGGGCGCCTAATTGCTGAGTGTCATCTGAACCCCATTATCCTGCCACTGTGGCATGTTGGTGAGTCTAGGGCTAAGGGGAGGAAGAGGGTTTTCCATAGATGGTGTTTGGGGGTGGCAGAGGATGCCTAGCATGGAGGGCACCAGTGTCCCTTTGGTCCTAGGCTGCTCTGCTTCCTCTGACATCTAGCCTTCCGTCCACTGTGCTGCAGGAATGAATGACGTCCTTCCTAACAGCCCACCCTACTTCCCCCGCTTTGGCCAGGTGGGTAGGCCCTGCTTACCCACATCTGTCTGTCTGCCTGCCTTCCATCTGCCCTGTGTCTCCCACTCTACGTTAGAGGACAGATATGGGAGGAGTTGAACTTGAGGGCCCAGCAGTAGGGGGACTGGGTGGAACATAGATAGTGAGTTACTAGCACCAGACAGAGCCTTTAGGATGAAAACAGGAAATCAGCTGGGGCAGGGATAGACCCTGGGATTGGGACTAGAGGTCATCTATAGACCACATCCTGGGACTGGGCTGACTATTGGATGCTGCTGAACCCAATTGCTCATTGTAAGAAAGGAAGTGGCCTGAGGGAGCACACAGCACATCAGGGGCAGAATTTGACTCTGGCTTCCCAGGTTGCTTGGGCTGGGGCTGTGGGCATTTCCCTGCTCCTTGTCACCCTTGGTGGCCACCTCCCCACAGAAAATCACCGTGCTGATTGGGAAGCCCTTCAGCGCACTGCCCATGCTAGAACGGCTCCGGGCGGAGAACAAGTCAGCTGTGAGTTTCCTCCCAGGCTCCCCATAGCTGTCCTCGGCCCTCCCAGCCCTCTCAGCCTCCCAGGGCACCTTGGCCAAGGTCCCCCAGGGGTGCAGGCCAGCCCTGTCCTTGCCTTCAGATGGAGATGCGCAAAGCCCTCACGGACTTCATTCAGGAGGAATTCCAGCGCTTGAAGACCCAGGCAGAGCAGCTCCACAACCACCTCCAGCCTAGGAGATAGACACCATCCTGCCTGGCCCCAGGGAATGGATAGATCCCCTGAGGCTTGGAGAGGAGGCAGTATTGGGACCTCAGTCCCAGCTTGGCTGGCTCTCAGTGCTGCCTTCAGATTCCTGCTTCTCACAAAACTGGGACTGGGGGATGGAGTGATGCTTTTAGTTTGGATACAGTTTTTAGACAGACTGTCTCATGATCCCTACTGGGTGCCCTCTTCTACTTCGTGAACATCTAGCTCCTCCATGGTTCATCAGTTAAAGAGCGGGTCTCAGTGCCAGGCATGGTGGTACAGTTTATTTCTTTTTTTTTCTTTTTTCTTTTTTTTTAAAGAGAGAGTGAGAGAGGAGAGAGAGAGAGAGAGAGGATTTTTTTTTAATATTTATTTTTTAGTTCTTGGCGGACACAACATCTTTGTTGGTATGTGGTGCTGAGGATCGAACCCGGGCCGCACGCATGCCAGGCGAGCGCGCTACCGCTGAGCCACATCTCCAGCCCCAGTGGTACAGTTCATAATCCCAGCAACCTGGGAGCTGAGGCAGGAAGATCACAAGTTCCAGGCCAGCCTCAGCAACTGAGTGAGACTTTGTATCAAAATGAAAAAATAAAAGGAGCTGGGAAAGTAGCTCAGTGGTAAAGCACCCCTGGGTTCAGTCACTAGTACAAAAAAAGGGAGGCTTCAGCAGTTCCTCCCACTTGGCCAAGAAGGGAGGAAGAAACTAGGCAGGGGTTTCCTTCTTGCCTTCTGATGTTTTGTCCCAGGGACTGGCATTGGGAGGGAGCAAAGCAGGCTGGTGAGCAACTAGGTGGGTAGGGGAGCAGGTGGCCTGCCTGGAGCTATGGTAGGAGGTCCATAAGACCCCTCAGCCTGACTCCCACCCACCCTTGCCAATCTAGGAGCTATCCACTACCTCCTCAGGGATGATTGTTAGCCATGTCTTCCTTCAGCTGAGTTCCCCATACTGTAGGGCCTGTACTGGGCCAGGGCCTGGCCTCAGGTAGCCTGCACACAGGAAGAACAGTCCTTGGCCAGAAGTCAAGCCTAGCAGAACAGAGCCTGCAACAAGGGCCTGAGATGTGGCTACTCACCCCTGTTGCAGGGCCCATCAACTTCTCCATCCTTCTGCTTTGGTACCCCTCATGTCCGTGGGTCTGGGTTTTCATTTTTTTAAAATAATAAAGCATCTGTGTTGTGCCTTTGTGCCTCTGGCCTCTCTATATTATGGGAAGGGAGGTGACCTGTTAGACTAGAAGGCAGGACCCTTAGATTCCTGGACACATGGAGATTACCACCAGTCACTTAAGGCTTCAGTTATTGTCTGTAATCCCCATAACAATCTTGCAAAAGTAGAGATTAATTTTGCAAAGGAGGCATTGCAAAGGTAATGAATTCACTTCAAAACACAAAGCTAGGGCTGGGTTATGTTCAGTTGGTAGAGTTTTTTCACACACAAAGCCCTGGGTTCAATCCTCAGCACTGTACCCACATACACATAAAAGAAAAAACCCCACAAAACTAGCTGGGTGCAGTGGTACACTCCTGTAATCCCAGCATCTTGGGAGGTTGAGGCAGGAGGATTGCATGTTCAAAGCCATGCTCAGCAACTTAATGAGGCCCTGTCTCAAAAAAAAAAAATAAAAAATAAAAAAAAAAGGTCTGGGGTATATGGCTCAGTGGGTAGGCATCCCTGGTACCAAAAAAAAAAAAAAAAGCTAGCTGGGCGAGGTGATGCACTCCTGTAATCCCAGTGGCTTGGGAGGCCAAGGCAGGAGGATTGCAAATTCATGACCAGCCTCAGCAATTTAGCAAGACCCCGTCTCAAAATTTTAAAAGGGCTGGGGTGTGGCTTAGTGTGGTAAAGTGCCCCTGGATTAAAGTCCCAATACCAAAAAAAAAAAAAAAAAAGCCCTCAAAGCTGTGGTGCATATTTATAATCCTAGTGACTCAGGAGGTTGAAACAGAAGGACTCTGGGTAGAACTGAATTGATTCTTCATACTTGAAGCTTTCCTAAGTGTTGCCCCAATTTACCTGGTTTGAAGGGTTCTTTGTTTTTGTTTGCTTCTGAGGATGGAATTTAGGGCCTCACAAAAGCTAAACACATGCTTTACCACTGACCTGTATTCCCAGCCCAAAAACAAATCACAAAAGGTTACCAAACATAAAGAAATTAATCACTATTTTGGTCAGCAGAAACAAGGACAGGTTGAAACCTTTTGCAAGATTAGACACAATATTGATACTATAATAACAATAAGAAGAGAAAGGAGATGGAACCACAAAAATAAGCCAGCAACAAAACATTCAGACAACCAGACCTGCAACTGTATACCCATAGTTCACATCAGATATCCTTCTTGGTGTAGTAAATTCTGGATTTTTTTAACCTTAATTTTTTTTTTTTGGTACCAGGGATTGAAGTCAAGGTCATTCAACCACTGAGCCTCATCCCCAGCCCTATTTTGTATTTTATTTAGAGACAGGTCTCACTGAGTTGCTTAGCACCTTACTATTGCTGAGGCTGGCTTTGAACTCGTGATCCACGTGTCTCAGCCTCCAGAGCCGCTAGGATTACAGGCATGGGCCACCATGCCCAGCTCTGTGGATTTTTTTAAATATTGGGGATTGAACCTGGGGTGCTTTACCATTGAGCTCCATTCCCACCCAGCCCTTTTAATTTTTTTAAATTTTGATTCAGGGTCTCACTAAGTTGCTAAGACTGGCCTAGAACTTTTGATCTTCTTGCCTCAGTCACAAGCAGCTGGGATTACAGATGTGTGCTACTGCACCCAATTATAGTTCCTTTTTATCACTGAATTAATATCCAATCGAACGAATGTAATAGTTAATCTAACCAAGTTCGGGCAATTATGAATAAGGCTGCTATAAACATCTGTGAGCATGTAAATTTTTAACTTATTTGGGTAAATACCAAGGAGTATAGATTATATGGCAGGAATGTGTTTTGGTTTGTTAGAAAGCACCATACTGGGGGCTGGGGTTATGGCTCAGTGGTAGAGCGCTTGCCTAGCATGTGTAAGGCACTGGGTTCAATCCTCAGCACCACATATAAATAAATAAAATAAAGGTCCATTGACAACTAAAAAAAATTTAAAAAAAGAAAGCACCATACTAAGTGGAATGATGGGAAGGGAGGGGGCAAAAGGGTAGGAATGATGGTGGAATGAGTTAGACATCAGTATCCTAAGTACATGTAGAAGACACAAATGGTGTGAAAATATTCTGTGTACAATGAGAAGAGAAAGGAGATGAAAAATTGTGCTCTATGTGTATAATATGAAATGAAATGCATTCTGCCATCATGTATAATAAATCAGAATAAATTAAATTAAAAATAAATAAATAAATTGTAATTTAAAAAAAAAAGAAAGAAAGCACCATACCATCTTCCAAAGTGGCTACCATTTTTGCATTCCTGCCAGCAGTGAATCGGGAGTTCTTGTTGTTCCTCATCCTCATCAGGATTTGTCAGATAGGTAGGTGTGTAGTGATAAATCATTTATTTTTTTAAAAATCATTATTTCTTTGCTTTTTACTGATATTTTAATCTTCAATTTCTTTGTATATACATATACATATATATGCATATATATTATATATATTTGTTGTATATAGACACAATACTTTATTTATTTATATTTGGTACTGAGAATAGAACCCAGTGCCTCAGATGTACTAGGCAAGCACTTTGCCACTGAGCTACAACTCTAGTCCTTTAATCTTCAATTTCTTGATGACATAGGATGTTGAATGTCTTTTTTCCTTCTGTTTTTTTTTTTTTTTTTAAATCCAGGACCTCACATGTTGGGCAAGTGCTTTCCCACTGAGCATCTTTCCATATGGTTATCTCCCTTCTGTGTATCTTCTTTCATACCGTTTGCCCACTTTCTTTCTTTCCTTTTACAGGGTTGCTGGAATAATAGGCATGAGTCATAGCACCCAGCTCAAGAACTTTCTTTTTTTAAAATTGTAGATGGACACAATACCTTTATTTTATTTTTTTACTATTTATTATTATTTTTTAGGTGTAGATGGACACAACACAATGCCTTTATTTTTATGTGGTGCTAAGGATCAAACCAGGGCCCCGCCCGTGCCAGGCAAGTGCTCTACCACTGAGCCACAATCCCAGCCCACAATACCTTTATTTTTATGTGGTGCTGAGGCTTGAACCCAATGCCTCACACATGCTAGGCAAGCGCTCTACCACTGAGCTGTAACTGCAGCCCAAGAAGAACTTTCTTAAACATATGGAAACTATTCATAAAAAACTCCAGTAAATATTATTTTTGCAGTACTGGGGATTGGACCCAGCGCCTCACACATGCTAAGCAGGCTCACCACCATTGAGTTATAGCCCATCCCTTTAAAACTTTGTTGTTGTTGTTGTTTTGTACTGGGGATTGAGCCCTGGGGTACTTTACCACTGAGCCACATCCCCAGTTCTATTTATTTATTTATTTAGAGACAGGATCTCACTAAATTGCTTAGGGCCTTGCTAGGTTGCTGAGGCTGGCCTCCAATTTGTGATCTTATTGGTTCAGCCTCTCAAATTACTGGGATTACAGGCCTGGGCCACCCACTACACCCAGCCCTTCTTTAAAATTTTGAGACAGGTTCTCACTAAAATGTTAGCTGGCCTTGAACTTGTGATTCTCCTCTATCAACCTCCTGAGTAACTGGGATTACAGGTGTGCACCATGGTGCCTAGCCAGTATACAGTATTTTTACTGATGAAGCTTTAGAAGTATTCCCTTCAAGCCTCAGAAACTTGGTGAGACCCTGTCTCAAATAAATATGTAAATAAGTAAATAAATATCTAAATAAAGAGGCCTGGAGCTGTCTCTCAGGGATAGAGCACCTTGGGTTCAATCCCTAGCACCAAAAACAAAACAAAACAAAACAAAACAAAACAAAACAAACAAAAAAAAAAAACAAGAAGAAAAAGGAAAGGTTATGTTATACCACAATAATATGCTTTCATTTGACTGTTTTCTATAGTGCCTTTTGTAGTTACATGTTTTAAATACCCTCTATACATAAAATAGCCTTCTAGAGGCTCTAAACCTCTAGAAGGAACACATACATACAGGTTCCGAAAAGACCCTATTGCAAGAAAGTCTGTTAAACTCTATTTTGCAAGCCTATTCAAAACCCTATTTTTCATTAAACAACTGTTAATACTTAAGGAATGTTTCACAGAATACAGCTAGGGAAAAGTTTATTACTTTCAATGATTTTAATATTATTCAAAAAGTGTATTTTTTTAGTTGTCAATGGATCTTTATTTTATTTATTTATTTGCAGTGCTGAGAATCAAACCC